TTGGGAGCTCAGGTGGTGGAGTGCCTAAGGCATTTGACTGCCAACCAGAAGGCTGGTGGTTCAAACCCACCAGCCACTCCTCAGAAGGAAGGTTGGGCAATATACTTCCGTAGTGATATGGCCTCGTAAACCTGAGGAGGGGTCGCTATGGGTCGGATCTGACTTGACAGCATGAGTTTGGTTTTTTTGGTTTTATAGTAATATTGGCTTTTTTGGTGTACATTTCTACAAACTTTAACAGATGTATAGACTCCTGTAACCACCACCACAATCAGAAAAGGGAATGGTTCCATCACCTCAATAAACTCCCTTTTGCTACCCCTTTGTAGTCATACCCTATGCCTAGCTAAAATACCTGGCAACTACTGGTCTGTTCATTGTTGCTGTAGGGTTTTAGTTCTCTAGTACTGCTCTAACAGATAATACTACAAATGGGTGGTTGAACAAACAGGGATTTATTCTCTTACAGTTTAGAAGGGTAGAAATCTGAGTTCAAAGTGCCAGCTCTAGGGGCTGGGTAAAAGCCCCTTGATTGTGGGCTTTAGCTCTGCCTCTTGCTCCCAGCCCACTGGAACTGGAGGCTTCTCTTAACTCAGGCAGCTGCTGGCTGAGGCTGACAAACCCAACATTGACAAGTAAAATGGCACAGTCCCAAAATTACCAAGCAACACAGCAGGCCACTAGTTCAAGTCCAGAAACAGTCCAAAGATTAGCAGACAACATGGCAGGCCATTGAGATGAAGACTTGGCTACATCCAGCGTCCAAGTGTGCCAAGAAGCTCAGAGACCTTTCTGAACACCTCCTTATATACTGGAAGCAGATCACATCCCTAAGGCAGCTACTCAGCTGCTGCAGTCAGCTGCTCCAGTAGTTTCCACCATGGAGTTGATTACGTCATATCATGGGGAATAACTATATAGAGCTGCCTAGCCACACACCTTAACTGCCACACTATGGTTTTGCCTTTTTGAGGCTGTTATATAAATGGAATGGTACAGTGTGTAGCCTTTTGAGAGTGCTTTTTTCACTCAGTATAATGTTGACATTCACCCAAGTTGTTGGATTGGGCCAGGTCATTCCTTAGTATTGCTGAGTGGCATTCCGTTGTATCTATGTACCAGTTTGCTTAACAATTTACCCACTGATGGGTATTTGGGTTGTTTCCAGTTTGGGATTATTTTGAATAGAAGTGCTATAGATATGCATGTACAATTTTTTGTGTAAGCACTGATTTTCATTTATCTAGGATAAATAGCTAGGAGTGGACTGCTGCGTCATATTGAAAGTGCATGTGTAACTTTATAAAAACGTGCCGAACTCTGTTTTCCATAGTGACTGTACTGTGCACCATTCTGCA